AGCCTGGCATGTGATGTCACTTGATGGTTGGTTTTCTCAGAGTATGGCCAGCCAATCCACCTCCATTTCTTCCTGCATATTTCTTGCACAATTGGTTCCTGCTGAGTTGGTTCATTCACTGCCAGAGATCCCTGTTGCTCATCTTTTCTGGCCGGCCATCTGACCTTGAGTAGTATTGAGCGAAGACAGCTGTTGATGAAGGTCTGTAGTTTGTTCGAAGTGCTTTTCGAGACACGGCGCGGTGCGGCGCCAAGTCTCTGATCCGTATAGCACATAGCACTGACTTCCCATTGGAGTTGAAAATCCGCATCTTATTTTCATTTTTTATGCTAAGTAGTGCTTTTGATCCCCACACAGGACTTGACAGTAAGATAAGCTTGCCTTACTACTACTTACTAGTAATGAAAAAAGCACAAAAAGAGACATTTTATCATTGAATAAAACTTACCTCAGAATCAGGTTCTAAATCGCGTAATTGTCGATTTATCACTTCAATAATCACTTCAAAATCATTATGATAGATCAGCACTGAAATATCCGGAGAGTAGAATAAATCACAAAGAAATTTGATTACAGTATTTGTAGGCATAGTTGTTGAATTGACATGATGATCAGACAGTACTGGCTTGTTGTCAGTCAGCTCTAAAGAGCCGCTTTGACGACGACAGCCTAGATTAGAATTCCACAGACTTTCAATATATTCTAAATCATCATGAGTATTATTGTCAGCGCGTGAATTAGCTTCAAATATTTTTAAAAACTCCTCTAAATCTTTAGCTGTAGTGGCAGTAGATGTATCATTAGTGCAACTGTCATGTATATTGGACTGACAAAAGTTAACCCATTGGATTAGACAACTTTCTCTGTCATCACTTTTATGCTTCGGAAGAAAAGACACCATAAATGTTGGGTCGACTGAAATTAGAAACCAAAAAACACAAACATTGTAGATTATTTCCATATTAGATAAAATTTGATATAAGTATAAAACTTGTGCACTGTGATAGAGTATAATTCCATTACGGGTAACATTTATTTTGATAAAGTCTCACAATGTGTGACAGAGTAATATTTGCTGATGACCATGTTTCGAGTACAAATTATTGCCACTGATAATCAGAACAAGACACTACTCACACAAATTTCTGACTTCCTTCAAATAATTTCATTATTTTCCATCGTTTGATTTGATTGGTAGTAGTATTTTCCATATTTCCGGTATGAGTGATGAGTCATTCCTATTGCACGTGTTGCGTGTAGATAACTGGATGAACCAGGATTCAGTGATCAACCTCTCTCTTCACCTACCTAGATTACCATTTAAAATTTTAACCCCCTCCCACCACCCTGTTGTGTGGTTGTTTGTTAATGCGTGCATGCAGTGCAATTGATGAGCTTTTTTCTAAATTACTTATCTTCTTCGGGGTCAACCATTCTTACCTGACCTACATTCTTATGTTCTGACAATCTGACTATCCCCGACCTACTAGTTTGACTAACCTATGTAGTTGACTTAACTCACAGTCATTGCAGGGTATTTTGTAAGTTATATTATTTTGCCTAATTCGGTCAACAGGGTCTTTTAACCTACAGAGCTTGTCCCACGTGAGTGAGTTTGTGGGTTTGAATGCCACTCCAATTCCTGCTTTATTTAGAATGCTACGTAGAGTCTGAGATGTCCCCTCTTTATGTGGTATAACAGTAGATGACTTAGATCCTCTCTTATTTATGTCATTATTACTAGTTTCATAATTCTTTTTCTTTTGGCCTTTTTCAATCTTCCTAATGAATTTTAAAGCATAGTTATTTGATACCAACGCTTCTTCTATCTGTTTCATTTCATCATTTAGGTCTTTTCTTGTGCTACTGCTCGGTTTGTTAGACACTTAACAACTGAGCCTGCCTTTGCAGACAATGGATGAGATGAATTAAAGTCCAAATATCCATTAACAGAATGTGTTGGCTTTTTATAAACACTAGTGTACAGTTTGCCTTCTTCTATTCGTTTTATTTTGCAATCTAACTTCATAGCTAATTCTCTTTGTTCATTTTCCGGTTCAAATGTGAATTTTATTCCCTCTACTAGTGAGTTTATATGTGTCAAGAAGCTAGAGATAAGTTCTGCTTTTAACATTGTATGAGAAAGTGTCATCCACATATCTCCACCATATTATCTTTGGAGAAGGATTACATGTATTAAGAACAATATTTTCCAAGCTGTCTCTAAAAATATCTGCTACTATAGGGGATATTGGTGATCTCATTGCTACACCATCTATTTGTTTATATAATTTGGCCTGGAATTTAAAGATAGATGTGAGGTATAACTGAATTCCTAAAATAATTTTCTCAATGGGCAGCTTCGTCCTATGAGTGGGTTCAGGATCTGCAGTTAGCTCTTTTTTAACTGCTTCTAAGGCCATATTGATTGGTATATTAGTGTACAGACTAGTTATATCAAAACTGACCATTTTTTCATTATTCTCTAATTCAATGTTATTTAGTTCCCTTTTCATTTCATATGAATCAGTTAGTCTAGAGTTTGAACGATTTCTAATGGGGCATAATATTAGAGCTAAGTGTTTTGATAATTCATAAGTAGGGGTATTCCCGAAATCTACTATTGGTCTTATGGGGTATCCTGGTTTAGGTAATCTTATAGTACCACACATTCTTCTAGCATTATTAGTTTTAGGCATTAAATTAAACCAATTAGAGTCATTTAGTGACGGCTTCATTCTGCGTATTAAATCCGCTGTAGATTTTTCAACCTTAGCCATTATTGTATCTACAGGCTTCTTAATTTCCTCATATAGACCCGTCTGAATATATTCAGTGCTTGAAACATGGTTATCAGTAAGTATTACTGTAAAGCAAACTGTTAGACTTTATCAAAATAAATTTTACCCATAATGGCATTAGACAAAAATTTATTTAAAATATCACACACAGTGATTACGCTGTATTAACAAAACCAACATTTATAGGAAACCGACACACACACACACACACTCTAATGCAAAATACTTAGACTTTAATTCTGCACCCGGAATCAGTAAAGAAGGATCTGGTTAAATGTCTGTTTAATTGGGCCAAGTGCCTGAATAACTAGTAAGCCAGTAGACTAAAATAATGAAGTCGAATAAATAATGGAAATATTACCAGTGAACAACTAACTACCCACCAGAATTTATTCAGAAATACATTAAGAACTACAGAAAAAACGAGATTAGTAATAAAAATGATGAAAATAACGAGGAAAATAATACAGAATTCAAAGCCTCTGCAGTACTCGCGTATAAAGAAAGAAGGTCATAAGGCCTCATGTAACATTCTCAATGAGGCTGGAATTAGTCAGCGTGGGCATTTAAATCTATCCACCAACGAACTCTCTCTCTTATAAATAAACTTTGTCGGCTTAAGGAAAAATTAATGCAGTTTACCAAATACCGTGTAATGCTGACTGTGAGGTCAATTCCATAGGTGAGTCAAACTAGTAGATCGGGGTCAATTGGATTACTGGAACATGAAACTTTAGCTAGACATAGAATAACTGACCCTGTTTAATTAAATAACCTTTAAAAATGCTCGGTTATCACACAATAGAATGGGCGGGACAGGGAAATTGTAATCAGTGAAGCTTTGTTTATCGATTCCACACCACGCGCATGCAATTGGAATGACATATCGCCTCTACCGGGGTTATGGAAAGTCGCAACAAACACCAAGGGGAGGTTGGAGAGAGAGAGGGAAAGTATATACATTGTGAGAGAAATTGTGAAGCCCTGTGATTAAATTGATATGATTATGAGCAATAATCTACGCTCGAAACATTGTCATCCAGTTGTGAATATTGCATCACTCACTCACTGTGTGATGTTTAGAATGAAGTAATCTAATATGGAATTAAATTCTACCGGTGTGCCCAAATTCTACACTTAAATTAATGTTTCCGTGGCATTTATCAATCCGAGTTACTTCTTGGGACGACGAAAGCTCCGCAACAAAAACCAACCAGCTCAGAGAACACTACTAATTGCAAATCATTCACCTGAACTACAAATCTTCTCTATCATTTCAAATAAATAGGACATTAGTAAAACTGAACAGACAAAGCTAAGCTTACGCAATTCCATTATGGATAAAATCTTATTTCGATGATAAAGTCTCACAATGTGTGCTATATAGTGCTATATTTACTGATGACCACGTTTCGAGCACTATTGATTCCTGCTCATAATTATATCAACGCACTACACTACTCGCATAACTTCCATGACTTTTCATCTCTTGATACGGTTGGTGGTCATATTTTCCAGATCTCTGGTATTGATGATGAGTCGTTCCCTATTGCAAATCCGATCACCACCACGACGTCAAGGTAGCAAGCAGTCACAGGTCGTCACAGTAGACAAAGGTCTTAAAGCTGATGAACTCACAAACAGCACTGGACACACCTGCTTTATTGTAGTTTGACAACTCCACAATAAGAGGGGTCGAACCAAAAACCCGCTGGTGACAATTAGTTGAGCTGGTCGAACAAATAAATAATTAAATAAATAGAAAAAAACGTAGTGATTATTACAACTTACAATTACGATTGAATGTTTGAATAACTATTTCAAGGAATACACGAGATGATATTGATTCACTGAGCAATGCTTCCAATAGAGGACTTTTCACACAGACAGAATCAGCGAGATCATTTTTACACGGAGAATTGATTGTGTAGACTGAACTATTAAAATGCCAATTATACGCTAAGAAAAATACTGTTACACTATATGAAAACATTTCACACTGGCGACTTTGTTGATTAGAGTTGCTGTTATTATTATTATTATTATTATTACCACTATCATCATTAGCATCAGCATTATTTTTATTGCTTGTAATTGAGAGTTCATGATGATCAGTAAAATTTTCTAAATCGATTAAATTTGAACTGGTTGAACTCGTTGAATCGCATAATTTCATCAAATGACTGAAAAGTTCTCGATCTAGAGATGCTGAAAAAGAAGAGGAAGGCAATATTTGCACAATATTAATTATACACTATAAAGCAAGCGCGCGAACTTTGAAAAGGGAGTGAATTTTACACGCTCTTGTTTAGTTTTGGCTTTTGTTGTGTTATACGCTCCAAAGGTCTACAGATTAACTTTAAATCAGTTTATTCTGATCAAAGTTAGTTTACTTTTCAGATCTGAGTCTATTTAAATTATAGCAAGATGTGTCTTATAACATAATAGTTATATATATTTTTGTGCACTCATTGGTTTTTATCACTGATTTATAAAGGTCTATATACATTTAAAGTTATATTTAAATTTCTTTCCCAGTTCGCTCTAGACAGTATGCCCATCAAAAAAAACCACTGCGGAAGGGTTATGTGCCAATTCCCAGTGGATGAGGAAATGCAGTGTGATAACTGCAAGAGATGGTTTCACAGTATGTGCACAAACCTAACTCCTGCAGCATACAAACGCTGCTGCAAACCTCTAGCAAACTGGTTGTGCAATGACTGTTGTAGTACTACCAAATTCCGTATTACAGAAGCCATTGCCACTCTCAGTGGGGCTTTAAAGCTCATGGACTGCAAGCGTCCTCCACTACAGGAGAACACCGACTATTGCTCAGACAACGATGATGTGACTAGCGTCATCGACAAAACAGCACATGTCCCCTATGCGTCTCTGTCAATAAGTGAGTGCCCTCCAGCGCAGAAGAGCACTCACCACATTCCAGACACTCAGGCTGCCCCCACGATACTGGATAAGCCCTCCAGTGACAGTAATGAAAAGACTGCCACGAAGAAGAAGCGTACCAGGGGTCGAAAACCTGCAGCTCAAGTCACCCAGGGACTAGTGGATCAAGCCTCATCCACACCGGTGAGTGATAGGCAGATAAATCCTGCTACGATTAGCGAGGAGATCGCCAATGAATGGCGTAACGTAGTCTCTCGCAAAAAGCGAGATAAGGACAATACATTGGCCACACTGCCCACGAAGGACAGAAAGACATTTACGCCGCAGAGCAAGAAAGCCACGGTAAGCAAACCTAATCTCTCTGACAGGTCGCTCATTCTCCACAAAGTGGAAGAGTCACTGGCCCCCCATCCCAAGACTAGATTTGAGCATGACCTTAACTCGACCCCACAGCAACAAGTGAACTGGTTTACAAGAATCGAGTAATTATCATGCTTCAGTTAAATTCATATGAGAAGTCGAAAATGAGTCAAAGATTCCATTTATGTATGTAGAATTGACAAGAAGAAATGATGAGACACTGAAAAAATTTATCCACTAAAAAGGTTCATGGGTAGTTGGGCACAATTAATCTAGACAAACCAATAAGAAAAGATAATTCGTCTGAATGGTGTAATGTCTGTCTGTTTTCGACATAGAACTTTGCACATATGTGCGGCAGTTCAAGTCGCCACACTCCATGTAGCACGCAGAACAAATGAAGAAAGTAGAAGAAATGCATAATATAGACAGTTAACAGAGGTGTGAGACAAAGGAGTAGTAATAACGAAGAACGAACAGTTTCATCGGAGATCATGAGTCACAAGGAGTGGATGCATCTGCGCCACTGAGAACGATTTTGAGCCATGTCACCAATTGTTTCCAACCATTGGTTTTTACCGTCCCGAGGACCGCAACCAGGAAGTCTACATCTCCCTACGTGACTTAGACTAACTGTTGTGGATTTCATTGACTGGTGCCAAGTTTTCGTTTGACCGCCGCTAGCTCTTTTCCAGCCTGGCCCTATATCAGCTAACATTGCCCGTCGAGGAAGGCGATGACTAGGCATACGTAACACATGTCCCAACCATCTCAGTCGATGTAATTTCACAGTCTCATCGATTGATTTCCGAATGGTGTAATGTATTTGCGAAACGCATTTTGAAAAATCCAACCACACACGGACTTGTCATAGGAATATATATGAAATTAATAAAGAGGTAAGAGGTGAGAAAATACACTACTTAGGTCAAGTTTAAAGGACATATTCAAGGTCAAAGTAACAATGAAGACCACTTAACCAAATAACAGAGGTAACAGTACATCTTCATCACCTCTACTTCCCCTATATTCACCTGGAGTCCTGTCTTCTGGTGGGAACATAATGAAGCATAAGTACATAGTATCATAGATAACACATGCAATAATCATCTTCGCTGTACGTTGCAGTTCAGTTACTGATTTAAGTTCTTTTCTGACATTATGCATAAAATTCTATTTTGGTAAAATCACAGTGTTGTTACTGATGACCACGTTTCGAGCACAATTTATTACTACTCATAATCATATCAAGGCACAACTCACATAACTTTCTTTTCTGACATCTGACAACTAACTCTTTACAGAAAACTCGTGGTGAATATGGTGGTATCGTAGAATTTTTACACTGACTAGCTGCACGAGTATAAATTCTCGTGAAATTTATTCTGGTTTTATCCCCATTGAAGATATACAAGGAAAAGGTTGCGAATATTAAAGCGAGTGTTCAGAGTTAGACAAGATAGCCTTAGCCAACTGCTTGCAGGAATTGAAGTGCCTATTGACAATAATGTCAGTTAGGCATACACACCACTAACCCTGCCTACCTGCAGCCTTCAGTGTACTACATAACACGACATAGCCTTTTTTGGGAAATCCAGAGAAGAATAGGGCGGAGCAATAAAGAAGAATGAGCAGAATACATGAATTAATAAATTTTAAGAGAAGAGGTTGAATTATAATGCCAGAAAGTATCAACTTCCTTATTGTGTAATATGTCAAACGAAAAATCTTCTTAGGTATCAACAATCATATGAGACGATCAACAGAGATTTGTAGAGAAATTGATGCCGAGATGGGAATCTATTCATCACATAAGAACAATCGAATGCAGAAACTACTGGGACAGAAAATGGTTAGATCGTCAGCATATTTTTTTTAATGAAGTTAGCTTTGGAAGAATGTGGAAAAAGGTTGTTTCGTAATGTGTCTGATGTTTTTAGGAAAACTCTAATGTTAAGCTGATTGAGTACTCTTCTGATATAGTCTGACGTCCATATAAAAGACGAAATCCGTAAAGATTTTCTATCTAATTGTGTCTATAAAATGAAATGCTTGGAATGTGATGCGATATACATCGGATAAACATCGCCGGAGAGAAGTCAAAATCAGAAGAAATGAACACCGTAGAGCATCTGTTCGACCACCTAGAAATCCGGTTGGACTACAAAAACTTGAAAAATCATCAGCCATAGGTCTACACGCTATAGAATCAGGCCACAAAATTGAAATAATCCAGAAAAAGCATTTCAGAAATCACAAAGAACGTCTAATATCATCAGAAGCACTTCATATTAAGTGGAATCCAAATTGTCTGAATAGGAATGATGGACTAAAACAGAATCTGACCTGGTTACAACACCTCCCTCCCCCATGAAGTGACAAAATCAACACAAATGTGATAAGAAAGTCCACTATGTAAACACACACTACTTTTATAATGTTACACACTGATCAAATCCAACAATCTACACTTGTTGTTTTGTTATCTTTACCAATTGGTCAACTTGACAACTAAAAATGCCCCCCGACTGATGAACGATGATCAAGTTAGTAAACTTTGTTTTGATACCATAACAGATGTACTATTACCTTTGATATTTGGTTAAGTGATCTTCATTGCTATTTTGACTTTCAATAAGTCCTTTTAACTTGACCTAAGTCTATTTTCTCACCTCTTAAATCTTTGTTATATATATGCTGAGATTTTGTAAATTCCAGTTTAATAATACTTTGATAAAGCTATTAGCAGCATTCAATAGCGAAACGTCAGTAAAAACAACAATATCGTTTTGTTTTTCATTCACTGGGAAATACAAAACCCTTTATTATAATAAATTAGATGCTGTTAAAATAACTTTCTTCAAACAAACAACAAAAATGAGTACTTACCAGTAAGGTAATCAATTCATTCAACCGTTCAAGAATATCATATTGATCATCGTGTAACCGCCAATTACATTCTTGATCGTTACTTTGACGTGATTCAAAGAAACGAAATTTAATGTTAAGTAAACACCAATCTGGACTTTGTGAGTACTCCTCTTCTGTTTTTTCTACATCAGTCGACTGGAAACCGAAATTCAGAGTAAATATTATGATAATAATAATAACAGTAATAATAATAATTTGCTTTATTCTAATACAGTACCTGCGATACAGGTATGTCTGTTTTCAACATAGAACTTTGCACAGATGTGCAGCAGTTCATGTTGCCACACTCCCTCCATGTAGCACACAAAACAAGAGAAGAAAGTTAAAGGGAATGCAAAACAGAGACAGTAAACAGAGATACGAGGCAAAAAGAATAGTAATAAGCAAAAGAACAATACAGTTTTATTGGGTATTATATGTAATAAGGAGTGGATGCATCTGCGCTGTCATTGAGCCATATTACCGACTATTTCCAGCTATTGGTGTTAACCGTCCTGAGGGCCCCAACCAGTCAGGAAGTCTATACCTTCCTACGTGGCTGGCTAGCTGGCTTTAACTAACTGTTGTAGATTTCATTGACTGGTGCCATGTTTTCGTTTGACCACCGCTAGCTCTTTTCCAACCTGATCCTGTGTCAGCTAACATTGCCCATCGATCAAGGAAGGCGATGGCTCGGTGTGCATGCGTAACATATGTCCTAACCATCTCAGTTGATGTAGCTTCACAGCCTCGTCGATTGATTTCCCCTCCTTACCTAGCACTCAACCGATACCTTACCTCAATATCGCTCACTCTATTATACCAACACTTCACACGGGAGATAGAATAGTGGCACACTACTTCTAAAAACTTATAATACCCTTCGAAATATGACATAATCCTTTTTTCAGTAGCCCAGGAAAGACTATGGATGAGTAATCAAGAACAATAGGTATAAGATGCAAGAGTTAGTAAATTGTGCATATAGAGGTTGAGTGATAACCTACCTGATAGGCTTAACTTCTTAATGTAGAAGGTCAAACGGCATATTTTCTTATAAATCAACAAAGTATGGGATGGCCACGAAAGATAAGAGGATAGAACTATTCCAACGTATATTCTGTGTTTGACTTAGTTTCTATTTCAATGCCCTTTATGCTACAAGCATCTTGTGAACAAACAAGTTCGTGTAGAGCACGTTTATGCATACCTGAGAGTGAAGTTAACTGTTTAACATTTAGAGGGATTTAAAGTAAGATTATTTAGCTTGGACCACTGGCTTATATCTAATCAAAGGAACAGTCAGATCACAACGTATCAGGCAACGAGACAGTCAGATCATCAGCGTATTTAACGATGTTGATTTCTTCAAACAGAAGCAAGTCATGTAAGAAAGTAAAAAGAAGGGTAGAGAGAGAGAGACAGAAGTATTTTTTACGAATAAGTGATGCATTATTATTATTATTATTATTATTGGTACATTATGGGCACCAAGAGATTCACCACACAAAATCGCATATTCTCTGAGAGGGCTAGTCTACTGCCTTAACACCTGGACTGAAGCGGGTAGTTGTCTCAAGGGGTTATTCCCACTCGAGTCTGACCCACGGGGAACTGGAGCAGAGTTAGAAGCTATATTCTCATGATCTCCAGAAACCGAACCAGGTTTGTACGACACACAATCCGTTCGGATTCTGGAGCCCATGTATGCTATAGCTTTGGAGTCAGTGTTTTCCAACACCCCCTCCACCTTGGTAGACCTACCTGTATTCCTACCAGTTCAATTTTAAGAGTCAAACGTTCGCATACACCCCTTCACTTTTGTGAAGAACATCCCCCCCTGAGTGGAGGCAATGGGTAGAACTTGCTTGACAGAGGCTATGCACGCGTTGAGAAGACCAAAGTCTACCTACCATCAGCCATACCTGGTTGTTTATAGGGGCAAAATGATACATTTCAATAGCAACCATCCAACGTCAACATGCATGTCGTCACAGAGATTGGATAAGACCGATGATAGGTACTACAGTAGTGTGTTGTAGATAATGAATGAGGGGCATTTTAATTGTGTGTGTGTGTGGGGGGGGGCTAATGTCAAGTGACGATATTTAAGAGATAACAATCATACTGAGATGTACAAATAAGCAACTGAATACATATACTGAAGGTTACCAGCCCTGATTAGGTAATCTGGTGGATAATGCTACATAGTGAATTGGTTATCAATTATTTCAGTACAGGAAACAAGAAGCTAAAATAAAGTAGGATGTTCCATATTAGTTTGTTTACAGTAGTATTTACTGGATGACAAGGTTTCGAAAGAAGTAGAATGTGAACAAACTCAACTATAACTGATCTCCAACAAACTGACTGGCTGATTTCAACAGAGAACTCTGCAAAGAAGTGAAGCAGTTCGAGTTTACACACTCCATGCTGCAGACAAAAGTAGAAAAGCGGTGGAAAAGGAGGTTCAAAAGAACGACAATAAACAGAAACGTGAGGGAGAAAGAATAGTAACGTGGAAAAAAACCGTAGGGTTCAATGGATATAGCATAGCACAAAGATTGAATGCATCATCTGCGCCATCATTGACAACGATTTCGAAGTGCATCAGTAGTTGTTCCCAGTCATTGGTTCTTAGAGTCCTGAGGACTCCGCACCAACCAGCTACACAGCCTACACCTCCATACATAGTTGGCTCAAACTAACTGTTAAAAACTTCATGAACTGATTCCGTATTTTGGTTTCTGTCTGTTTTCGACATAGAACTTTGCACCGATGTGCAGCAGTTCAAGTCGCCACACTCCCTCCATGTAGCACACAAAGCAAGTGAAGGAAGTAGGAGAAATGCATATTAGAGACAGTAAACAGAGGTGTGAGACAAAAGTATAGTAATAATGAAGAACAAAAGTTTCATTGGAGATCATGAGTCACAAGGAGTGGATGCATCTGCGCCATTGAGAACGATTTTGAGCCATGTCACCAATTGTTTCCAGCCACCCAAAACCAGTCAAGGAGTCTACATCTTCCTACGTGGCCTAGACTTACTGTTGTAGATTTCATTGACTGGTGCCATGTTTTTGTTTGACCACCGCTAGCTCTTTTCCAACCTGATCCTGTGTCAGCTAACATTGCCCATCGATCAAGGAAGGCGATGGCTCGGTGTGCATGCGTAACATATGTCCTAACCATCTCAGTCGATGTATCTTCACAACCTCGTCGATTGGTTTCCCCTTCTTAAGTAGCACTTGACGGATGCTCAACCTCAATATTACTCACCACCACTTAACACGGTGGTTAGAACGCAGGCACCTATGATCAGAGACAGCTAGCCAACCAAGCTTTTCATGTCTCCCACTTTCAATGGACAGGTCTCACAGCCAGTCATAAAGGAGAACGGAGCGAACCGCTGAGTAGTACACACGCCCTTTGGTCGATAGCCAGCCGGATATCACTTCTATTCCTGAGATGGCGTAAACTGGCAAATGCCACACGAACCTTCTGTATGCGTGCCCGAGATCGCAGTCAAAATAAAAGAGGGAGACTAAAGGAGCATGTTTTTTTATTCTACCGCCACATGTGACATCACTGAAAAGACGTCAAAGGTTTCACTCACGATGAATACTTTCATACACGCGTTGCTAACGCACCAAAGTTTCAAAAATCAAGTAACCATTCCAAATTCCCACATAAGTACATGTTCATCTGCGGTTTAATGACAGACTGCCCGCCAGCCATGCGTAAGGTTCAGGTTCAACTCCTAGCCCACGCAATCCTCAACCTTACCCCGGAAGGAAAGAAGACTGGATGTGAGGCTAACAACCCTACTCTTAAAAAACCAACACCAAGGCAACTGAAACTTTAAAGTTTGAAACCCGATGTTCAACTCAGAACGCAAAGAATAAAGAAAGCGTAAACACACACAGGAGATGAGCAAATATTAGTGACCATATTACCTTCCATATTAGTTTGTTTATTAGATGTATCACACAGTGAAACAGTATTATTTACTGGATGACAATGTTTCGAACAAAATTTATTGTTCATAATCATATCAATTGTAATCACACGACATCGAAACTTGAGTTTTATAGTTTTCTTTGTCTCCTATTTGTCGTCGTTGGGGTAGTGGGATTTTCCAGATATCTGGGTGGACAGGTGTTGAATCATCCCTATTACACGTATTCTCAGCCAGTTGATTCGATAAAGAAAGCTTCTGTTATCAATCTCCCCTTCTACCCTACTGTGACATTAGATTTTAAAACTGTCATCCTATTGTATGGTTGTGTGTAACTGCATGTAGTAGGTGCTATAGCTGAACTATTCTCTACATTTCCTATCTTATTCGGGCCAGCCAATCAAGATTTACCTAGGATTTTATGCTCGGCTAGTCTATCTGCCTCTGTTCTACTAATCTGACCTGACAATCACTGCATGTAGGGTATTAGATAAACTAAATTGTTTTGTTTTAAAGACTCCACAGGATCCTTTAGCCAACAGAGCTTGTTTCTGAATGAGTTTGTGAGGGGTTTGAATGCCGGCCACTTTTGTTCCTGCCTTGTTAAGAATTCTGCGTAGTGCTTCCGAGGTTCCTTCCTTGTATGGAATTATTACTGATGATTTAGATTCCTTATTGTTGGTGTTGCCTCGCGCATATTTGACATGCATGTCGTCATTATTATTCTTATTATTATTACTATTATTATTATTATTATCGTTATTATCACTATCGCTTTGTTCGAAACGTCATCCAGTAAATAATACTGCTTCACTGTGTGATATGTCTAATAAACAAACTAATATGGAATCACTTAATACCACAGTGCCCAAGTTTTACACATATATTAACCATATTACCTTCTTATCGGCTTGGAGATTTTCTTTCAAACCTGGTATTACACAGGATAGCATACCCATCAATGCTGAATACACAGATCCACAATCTGAATAAGAACAATTTGTTGCTAGTCTTATTGTGTCCAGTAGGCGGTATTCGAAATTCTTTGGTAAAATAATATCTCCTTCAGACTTTGCTACTATTAAGGGAAAAACAAAACCAGAAAAAAGTAAAATAATCTTTAACATTATTTGTTCTTATAGCCAATAAATATGTCGCTCTATCGGATATACAATATAAAAGTATGCGATGATAATGAATCATCAATACAATAAGGATCGTTGTATCTAGGAGCCCATAAAGAGTGAATGCATTCGCGTCAGAGAAAACGATTTTGTGCCATGTAACAAATAGTCTCCAACCTTTGTTTCTTGGCGTCTCTAGAACCCCAGCCAGGCAGACAACACCTTCCTGTGTTGCTCAATCCAACAGTCACACAAGCAGATGTACACTACTTGGCTACCGCGAATCTCTTGAAGGGGTAAATATAATCAATTCATCTGCCAGGTGTTTACTTGCTCATTTCTCCAATGCACCATTTGGTCTACGTATGAGATTATCTAACCTAGAATCTTAGATACTATGACAGTCAAGAGAACCGCCATATGATTACCACAGGAAGAATTACCTCCATTCTTATAAACTTGGATGATCAAGGATTTACACCAGTCCAATGTGACTATCTCAGCTCCCCACACATCACTTAATATCTTACTTAACCCAGTCAGCAGTTCGTCGGCACTACCACTAAACACCTCTGCAGTCATGCCACGAGGTGCCACCAATTTGCTTAGTCTCAGAATAGAGGTACCTTCTACAAACTCATTACAGTTGGAGGACCAAAGTCCCATTCAGGTCATTGCTAGGTGTTGGGCTGTAAGCCCGTTACACTACTCCTCAAAGTTACCTCCAATGTTGGTCTCTTTTCCTGAGAAATAATCAGAGAATCCGCTAATCGGAGAATGTATGGCTTATTAGGTGTCTTTTACAAGCAGATTCCCTAGGGCACCTAAATAGTTGTCTGGTGTCACCTACCACCGATGGTCTTTCCATCTCTTTGACGTTGGTAACTAGTCACTATTCCGGGTTGTCGCAAAGAACTTTATTCAGCTTCCATTTGGATAAATCTTGCTCTTCGTCGTTCGGAACTTCAGACGACTCTGAAACAGCCAATCAGATTCTTCTAGGTGAGAAGTACTACATTTACAAAGAAGTGTATCTACGATATATATGTAATAAAAAGGGTATATATCTCTAATATGCCGCAAAAACTGGCCCCAAATTCTCATAGAAGTGGTTATAGACATATCACCTTATAAAGACTTCCTCATATTAAGTGGTTGCATTCGAATGTGTAACCGTCAGTAACCCGTCAATACTTTTTCAGAGTCATTATCCCTCCACATACTTGTTTTATTCCTCCCTACCAACCCATTTTCCACAGAGAAGTCAAAAACCAAACCTAGGAGATATTTTCAACGAGGATTATGACTAACAATCATCTGTAATGCTGAGCTGTCTGATTGGTCAAATCAATGTCATTTGACTTTGGTGTCTATTGTTTACTCTTGCTGGAGATAGTCTTCTTGTTTCAAGAAATCCGACCCTCATGCCCAATAGTTGTATTGCATGGTTTCTTAATATGCTGCTCATTTAGCTTTACAGCACTCGCACTACTCACTATTCTACATTTTTGTGGTGAATTCCGGTTTTAAAGGAAATCCTTATGAGCTCTGAAACTGAAGTTCGCCTGAAAACGTCAAAATGTCATCAGTTTATGTTGGAAGATATTTAAAAAAACTCACTTGCCGCTTGAGTTATACGTTTTTTAGGATCAGTTATCCTTAGCTCAGAAAGGTTTCCAGGTGGTTTCACATCACCAGGTGTATCCATGTCTTTTTCTCCTCTTATCTGCAACAAACGTCTGGGGATTATGAAATCACAACTAGAAACAATAGTACTCAAGCAAATCCTCCTTCCCCCCCAACATTTTCTAGAATTCTATCAGTCAAGTTAGCTAATGCATTTTTAGCAAACTCAACTTTGATGTCTTGATCCCCAGTCTGACATATCAATGTTACATGCAAATATAAAGTACCTCGTATTTTTCGACAAAATCTGATGGGACGCAACCTAAAGTCCCATCTGTCTTACACACCATACGCCAGTCTTGATTTACTTCACGAATATCTAAGAAAATTTCATTCTTAGAGAACTTTAAAGTTCCTGGGAAAGAACCAGGGTAAGGGTATACCGCTCGCAACATTCTGAAAGTTGTGTAGGTCGCACAACATTAAACATTAAAACAACCATGTGTCATAAGTAGACTTCAGACTTTTGAAGGATAGTTTCAAGTCACCTCATATAATTCTATGTATTTTATAGGGCCAGTCTTGTTTGGAATGGAATAAAAAATCTATTTTGTTGGTATTCTAAGAAAATTATTTTTGTTCGAAATTTCATGGATGTGATAAGCTTGTGAACTTTCTTCCAAAGTCAGATAAAATATATTAGTGTCAGTTGCACTGGCTCTAGTGAAATACCAAAGGAATGGTACTCACGCAAATATGACCCACCCTGAAAACAACTGTTGTGGTTAAAAATTTCCTAAAAGCATTAGTCAACTTCATTCGACATTGAGTGCCTACCTACACTGAATAAATCGAATAGCCAAGTCGAAGCTACGTTGTCGGGAATCCGCGTTGCTTAACAATCTGTCGTGTTACATCTGGTCGTTCGTACATGAACCCTAGCCACTGAGGTAATCATCACTTTACCTTTTTGATCCCTAAATATATCTCGTAATCTGGATAATCGTTTGGTTGTTTCTATTAGCCTCCGTTGTCAGTACTTTGGAAGTTGGAGGATAAACACTTTTATCCGAATACTGCGTATCGTTCGCAACCGTCTATATCCACCATCTCATATATCACCCTATTACGCGGCAAATTCCATATTTATTTTAATATTCCGGATAAGAGCATTGTGAATGTTGAGGAGGCTAACGAGTGTTTTCCTAAAGATGCGGAAATCTGACACACATTGAAACGCATTACGTCCTTGAGGTAGGATGACTGGGAGCAAACGGGATGGTTTAACGCCTTATATTGGATATTCGATGAAAAAATTGGGATATCATTTTGAATCACACCTATGTAGAGAAGTCAGCCTCTCCTAATCCGACTTTCTCAGTTGTAACTGGTAGCAGGATCCTCCATTGTTCTCAGAAAATTAGGTCAGCTTAGTAGCACACTGGACAATAACAGTAACTGCCCTCTAGCTACTGATATCGGCCATTGCATGGGAGGATTCTAGTTGGTTCAATAAACTTTTCAAGATTGAGCTTCATGGACTGTGTTTCGGATGAATTGTATTTTCAAACGCATCTCAAAAAAGCTAATCGATCTACGTAGTCATCATTGGAGGAAAAGTGGCCGAGGTATAACTCCTAGCATTGTAGAACATTCATAAAGAAAAGTAATAATGGTATAGATTTTTTGCTTCTGCTAAATCATGGGATTTTTCTGAGATAACCCTGCAAGTCTCGGTTCAACTTTTATTCGTATTCTTCCCTGTACTGCCTCCAGATTCTACAGTGTTTTGACCAAAAGTACTGTAGCTCAGAGGAGACAAATGCGGCTGAATTTGTAGCGGCAACAGTAAAATTTAACTAACTCTTGAAGTAAACGAGCAAAAACTAGCCAAGCTCAACTCAGTCGTAGGTTTCGGTGTCATATAAAATAAATAAATAAATTTATTCTCATAGTACAGTACATGAGGGACGCCAGTTTACAGGCATCATCAAACTGTTACAGAAATAGAGTCATGTAATTCAATCACAATTTACAGGCAGTAGCAAGATATGCCTTACATGTTCGCTGGAGATTATACATACACTTGATAAATGTTAATCCCATTTGTATAAAACAGCCTTTTCACTTATATACAATCATTTCTGTGCACAGTTGGAAAAATCTGCTAGATTGTCAGTGAGTGCAACACATCAGGAAAAACAGAAGTATTGTCTTCGCATTAACAAAAAAACCAGGTCTTTGGTGGATGAATTATAAGTGCCTGGGAAAAAAATAAAGCTTGAAGTCAATTTTCATACATAACTTTGTTGTATGCAGAATCCTTGAATTATAGTTCATTGGTGTGTTATTTTGAAATCAGCGATATGTTTATCTCATTTGATCTGCAATGTCATTGTTAGGAGTAAATACATAGGCTTCAGACTCATTAATTAATGGATTTCTACTGCTTGTGGGTATTTTCTTAGCGTGAAGAAAGCTTATGAATTTCAGCTGTTCCGACAGGAGTTGAGAATATTAACTGCTCAGCAACATTATGGATATAAGTTCATTACATTGCCTAAGGAAAGATGAGTTGCAGTTGGTGAGGGATATATGGTGCCCAGCGAGCGTACATCTGTCCATGTGATGTTGTGGTCGGTTATACCTTCTTCATGTTGTCAGTTTATGTCCATTTTTATTCCACTTATTGTGTTGGGTAGTAGTTTTACAAACGAAATTTATTGTCTGTTTGAGGGTATGTATCTTAACTGTTAATGTTTTATCTTAAATTATAAATATAGGCAAAAAACAACAGGTGTAGTATTTAAGCTTATACATTAAATGGACCTATAATTTCGGAGGCTCTCAGATAGGAACTAGAACTGCTATCGTTTGCAAACTCTTGTAGTTTGTCATTAAGCACCTTTTTGAAGGAGGCCAATGTACTTGCTTGACGCATTTCCATTGGTAGTTTATTCCATATCTGTGCATACCTAATCAAGTAAAACTTTTGCCTGGTGGCTGTTTTACATTGTTCGATGGCTACTGTACCCTTAGTGTCTTAGTTTGTAGCCACTGTCATCTGAAAGTCGAGTGCCATTAGTAGAGGTAAAAACTAAGTGGTTTAGGAGCTTATAGTAAAGTGTTAAGTTTAGTCTCAGGCGTCTTAGCCATAGTGCTTCTAGTCCTAGGATATCACATCTAGTGGAGTAGTTCGCACCATTTTCGGTTCCGAGTAATTTTAACGAGAAGTACATCTGCACTCCCTCGACTTTCAATTTGTCCTCTATGCGTATACTACTATACATGAATGAACAGTAATCAAATAAAGGACGCACACAAACCTTGTACAACAGAATTCTAGACTCATTTCTGTAGAAGTTCCTGAGTAGAAAGCCGATAAGTCTGCGTGACTTTGACACTTGTTTGGAGATATGTTCAGAAAATGATAAGTTATGTGAATATTTCAGCCTTAGGTCCAGTACAGATTCCAGTCGTAGTAGTGCATGGCCTTGAATTGTCAGGTTAAGCTCTAAATTATTGCAACCTATGCAGAGCCAGCCACACTTTTCGACACTAAACTGGGGTTGCCAGGTGTCACACCATCTATCCATTTTTTCTAATTCTTGCTGTATGGCGTTTACTGTTATTCCAAGATCTGTGTTCTTGCATTTATAGGTCACTTTTAAGTCATCTGCATATATTATTGGTTTACCTACACTAAAGCATTCACATATACTGTTTGTGTATATATATACTCTAGTAGTTTAGCGTTCTCCGAACAAATTGATTGTGCTAGACGCAAAACACGAAGACTCCTAGGATGCATAACTCGCGAATTCTTTTGTTGTGAAACTAGGGTTTTATTATACAAAGTATGTGTCCGACTTATTTTGGAGTACTGCCCGTTTATTCTTAGTGGACTGCGACAGAATGACAAGCTCAAATTGGAGGGAATGCAACGGCAGTTAACTTCAGGAACTCTTGGTTTGGAATGTGGTCTCGACTACACTGAGCGATGCGGCAGACTGAAATAATAAATAAATAAATAAATTTATTCTCATGGTACAGTACATGAGGGACGCCAGTTTACAGGCATCATCAAATTGTTACAGAAATAGAACCATATAATTCAATCACAATTTACAGGCAGTAGGAGTATATCCTTTATATGTTCGCTGGAGATTATACATACACTTGATAAATGTTAAATGAAAATAGAGCCACTCTGGAAAAGACGTCTTTAGCTAAACCTTATTTTCTAATACAAGTTAAATAATCTTCTTTTGCACTCCTCCAGGCCAATAACCAAACCTACCGCTGTCATCATTTACAATCTTAGAAATCATGACAACCTCGTTGCAGTAGAGCATTGTCAGACTTACATGCGGTACAGCTTCTTAAATAAGTTTTAGGTCATCTGGAGTAGACTAACAGCTAATGTGCGTGATGCGAACACGCTACCAGGGTTCATCCCCTCGGTCACCAAACTGCTCAGAGATGACAAAGCTCTCCTGAGTCTGACTCCTAAACTTTCCTTTTCACCTGTGGTAGCCGGGAAACATCAAATTATACGTTCACCGTAAAATAGTAAAAGTAATGGATTCATGGAAAATCATGGTTGTTACGTGAGATTAAACAAGGACACTACCTGGTACCGCGTGAAGTATGGACGACACTTCTTCCCTCTCCAGCTCTTTGCTTTCTACATCTGCCGACCGACTCTGCCTGGTACCTGATTGGTACACCCACATTAGAATCTTTTGCTTCAATCTACTTTTCTCTCTGCAAGTGCCCTCTGGCCGTTGGCATCTCTTACGTTTAGTGAGCATCTGTATACCCAAGAAAAGGACAATTTCATCCCTACCACTCTGCACGTCTACATTTGAGTATTTTGGGACAACCTTCCAGATAACTGCATTCTTGTGTGTATATTAATTTATGTGGACTGAATACCGTTCTACATACATACATGTTTGTATTTTTGTCCTATTCATTATGCGTATAAAGGAACTTAGCCGTTTAGTGAACTACAAGCCCAGTGATCTCAGCAGGTCTCTTTCATTGTTTTTATAACTATTGTTATCATTCAGTTTGGAATTCGTGTCATTTCCAATGAGGGCTAATTATTTATCATAGTGGCCTAACTACCGTAATCCATTATAACCTTTATTTTCAATATTTCATGCCTCGTTTCCCCTGT